GTCATACTGGAATCGGCAAGTTTCAAACCTCCGTACAAAAACTAACAAGACAGTTCGTACAAGTACTTACAGCTACTTTTTCTTGTTTCCCTTCAAACGATGTCATGACCATTAAAGCGACTTCAAGTGATTTTTGTAGTCGTTTATCATATCCATTGAATCTATACATCGATCCGGATACGTCAAAACATAACTGCATTCGTTTTGGTTTCAGCTGTGGGGCTCCCGGTTCTGGCCGTTTATCTAGGCGTCGTCTGAAAAAAGGGAAAAACTAAAAGTAAACAGCAGATATACGGCTGGATAGAATGACTGGTTTCATAATCACTCGAAGCAAGTGGTGGCAAATGGTGCTCTAGATACAAGCATGGTCCGGGGATCAATCCCGAGTCGATACCTGCCCTGGTCAACAAAGCCTTTCCTCTCTCCTAGTTCGGTTTATTGGTTCCATACCCGTTAGGGAGGATAAAAGGAGCGAGTTGTACTTTGCCCAGCAACCACAAGTCGGTGTACAGGGCATATACTCATTCAAGTACCACTATGATTCTGAATGGAAGTCGAATGCGGGGCGCATTCCTTAGAGGGGATGTTTGAAGTCCCAAAAATTTATCATTTGTTCTTTGATCGGAATAATCAGTAATCAAATGACTAAGAGTACCGGGGATTTAAATTCCTACTGTAACCCCACTACTACTTCATACCACTACCCATGGCGAAACCTTGAAAATACACTTGAACATGTTGTGCTAGTTCCAGAAAAGGAATATGTAGCTATAGTGGGATAACCGTGAAAATATGGATCCATACTGGAATTTTGACCTCGTGATCAAGTGCTGTACAGCTAGCTAATCGATAATTTTAATGTGCAGGTAGAACCTGTAGATATTCCGTTCTCCGGTTATTCCTTCTATGAGTTTTCCATCATCCAAATCTCCAGACGTTTGATGTCGAGCCCATTGGCGTTCCTTCTTTTTAGCCTCCAATTGTTCGATGATTGACCGTAAATGATTGGAATGCTTTTCAATTTTGTTCCAAAACGTCATATAGGCATCTGCATCATACTCTGACATTGCGATCTCCTGAACAAGTAAATTACTTTACGAAAGTGTCCTTCATCCCTTCCCCTCTCTGGAGAGCCTTTATAATTAGTCCACCCAATTCAGTCATGAGCGGGTGTTTCTGGAAAGTGAGCTGTACGGTCTGCCTCTTATTAAGCGGACCTTATTAACAGGAAATGTAGAAGGAAGTAGGTGAATGAGGAGGTGCTGATTAGTGAAGAACTTCTCAAAGCTGCTCAGGATCAAGCTTCCAACTACGCAAAATTAGGGATTACAGCCATCAGACTCGAGCGGCATGCCGCGCGGCGGGACAACTAGCTAAGCACCCAACTGGGACATGGCCTGCGACGAGACAACTAGCTAAGAACAACGGCAGAGCGATTATATTGACTTTCATCCTAAAACAACAAAAACATAACCATGCAGAGAATTAATGACCTTCAATCTCTTCTGGTATTCCGCTTTTGCTACTTCTCTAGCTTTCTTCAAAACATAATCAGGTACTTGTTTCTTTACTGAATCGGGCATCTGATGTACATCATGACCAGCATCAAGTCTGAAGTGTCGAAAAACATGACGAAGATGCAACTATGGAATTGGAAAAAACTAGTTTTCAAACCTGAATGGACCGCCGACGCCTCCTAAACCAGCTGTCGAATATCCACCCGTCCCTCCCATCCATTGATTTCCACCATGATGAGGGGTATTTTCNCGCAAGTTATGATCGTCTTCTCCTACAATAAATATATTCTAGAGTTGACCTAATAATATAGAAAGAAAACCTGGCTGTATCAACATTTTCCCCATTCCGCTTAAAGAGGGATGACCTCCGTTCACATAAGATAAGCTAAAGGGACGAAAAGAAAGACAATCCGGGAAATTCTCCCGAAAAGGACCAAAAGCTACCAAGCTATGACCTTAAAAAGGTGAAAGTTACCTAGCCTTCAATTGAGGATCAAAGAGCATCCTTGCTGCATAGGGTTCTGAACCTACCTAATCACCGAGTATAAACGCCCACCACCCCTTGACGGGAATTAAATTTTGTAAAATTACCATCTTGACATGCCATAGACGTGCTCATTTGAATTGAACCTGATAATAGGAATCAGAACTAACGAATCACTCACCACCTACAAGACGATTCCATTCGAAGAATGCCCTCCCCAATGTGTTCGGGGAAAGTTCGTAAGAACGCACTCCACCGCATGTGTCTATCGTAAGCATCCTTTCATCGTTATACGGAACGATAATAAATGGAGTTTGAGAAATTGTAGCACACCAAGGGCTAAAAATATTTGATGAAGTAGAAAATGAGACGGAACCTTTTTACTAGTAGAATTCAAGAGCCCTCGTCATCCAAGGATAAGGTTACATGACTCAAGAGCCTATTGAACTAGTCACAAGAGATCAAATTTTGGGCAAAATGGCTAATTTCGAAAAAAGAATGTGGGCGATCAATAAGAATGGGGGCGTATTGGGGGCGTTGAAACGTACGGGCGTAGGGTATCGAAGATGGCGAAGGTGGCGAAAGTGATGGAAGATAGAAAGTGACCAACGCCGTGACAGGAATGACAAATACGGATCACACCTACCCGTGGTAGCTATGATAACGTGGTTCCGGTACTGGAATGTATTGAACGAAACCGTTGTCGGCATTCACGGCCTCCAGAAAGCCACCGATCTCATGAACGTTGACTCTTCCTTAAGAAATGCACTATTACTACAAGTTTCCCGAGTATAATACCAGGTGGTAACGGTAGACAATAACAGCTTATACATGAGCATACCTTCTCCGGCGGCATCCTTTGGCACTTTCCATTTGGGCTGAGCTCTGACAACGACTCCCTCACGCAGAGCTATGAGATTCCTGTAGGGATCTATGAATTTCTTGACAACGTCGTCTGACAAATAGTACGGTCTGCGGCCATCCACAACGTTGGACGGGGTGGGTTTGACACTTCCAATGACATCTGTTGCGCTCTAAACTCCTCAAAAATGAGAACACTACAAAGAAAGAGGGAAAAGTTAGAAAAAAAGTAGGATGTGATGAATAATCGTACCAGTAGAAGTGGGAATCCGGAGCTTTTGAGGAAGTGGTAACCCTCAGCTGCCAGAAATACAGCATCATTTTGAATACGTAGGCTATCGATATCCAAAGCATTCGCAAAATCGGCACGGACAGGTCGAGCTTTCCACTGGCCAGACTCATGACATAGAAGATCGTAACTGCCATTCTGAAGTTGCAGTAAACGTATCAGCTAGTTGAGAAGACATCTAAGTAATAAGGAAGCCGCGGGGAGGTGACTAGTACCGAGTGGCGCCCACCTACTATTATCACGATCACGCCCGAGATCGATACCCGCCCAAATCAACTAAATCCCTCTGCCCTACAAGTCCGCTTAATTGGTACTATACTTGTCTGACGGGATAATTGTACTGATTTTTACTACTTTACTTTACTTCTTTTTAAGCCGCACTCTAGAAGTCATGGCGTAAAGCAATAGGTGTTCAAACGCCTTTAGGAATCGCTAAAATGTACTCCTGGAGTAGGACAGCAATGATCTGCAATCAATATACTTTCTTGTAGATAGGATCGTGTTTTCATTGCGTATCGCAGTTTAATTCTTTTTACTAACCAGTTACTGTACTTTCGAAACGGTAGCTCTACAAAGCTCACCTTCATTTTGACGAGAATTTTGTCACTTCCAACGGGGAACACTTTGCTTATTTCACCTCCCAACGTCATCTGAGTGATAGTACCGCCAGGTTCGAAACGGGAAATTTGATTGCCTTCACGTGTATAAAGGAGAGGGCAACCTCCTTGAACAAGGCGTCGCTCAGATTTCAGGAACCCTTCAATCGAAACAATGAAATCGCGAATCAACTAAAATATAAACCTAGCTCCCTACAGCAATAACGAAGACCTTCCTTTCGTATTCCACCATGAGACACGCGAAATTTTTGAAACTGTTGGAAGCAGCAATTACAAGTCATACTTACTATTTGCAAAGTTTGACAGTGCAGACTCTCCCAAATCGATACGTTGTATCGTGTTCCTGTTCAAGTCCACCAACAAAATTGAACCTGACTAAAATCAAAAACTGTTTAGGTGAATAGAAGTTGGCAGAAAATCCTTCCAAATCTGATATCGATTGAATAAACCTACCACTTCTTCATGGACAAGGAACGATCCCTCTCCATACTGAGCTAGTCTAATCCTTGGCTCATATTTCAGGAGATTATGATGGGAGAGCATTGAAGAAATATCGATTTCGAATACCTGTAATGTACAACTCAGTAAAATACTGTATTAAATGGTATGTGTGAATAGTTGAAAACGAAAAAGTGACAAAACTGCACCTCATCCGTTAAATACAAGTCTTTTACAACGTAAATACGAGTAGGGTTCACAGTAGCAACAATCAACGAATTCCCTAACACCAAACCATCGGAGCATATGTTCACATCCAGCATTGGTATTTGCCAGGCGCATTCCTAAAGTAGTAACTAGTACGAGTACTCTATAAAAGTTCTTGGCAGAAGAGGTATACCTGTTCTGTAAATTGTTGAGTACGTACATACTCCTTGATTAATTTCAATGACTTTGCCTTCAGCGGTTGAGCCTAAATAGAAGCCATTACAGCTGTATATCCATACCGTACAGCGCTAAGTGTGTAGGCTTTGACTGCCCTTATTCATCGAAAAGTACCTTGGCATTTATCGAAGCCACGCTTGTTTTCACATCGATTGGCACAACATTATCGACCGCTCCCCATTCCCCAATCGATGAGGATGGTTCAATGGGGAATCTATGCGACACAAAAACGTGTTCCCTCGGTCGTTTAACACCTGGAATAGCTTGTAATCATGTATGCCCGGAGAGTCTGCAGCGTGAGTAAAGCGAGAATTGACGCGCGCATTCGCGTCGCGGTTACGCATTCTGAGTGCATTCAATCGATCGTAGCACGCACTACATGCTTTTTCCACGAACCACAAAGACCAAAAAACAGGAAATTACGTTCTATCATAATTATTATCATGCCGTTACTGACCTAAAGTCCCACCCTATGTTCAACCAAATTTCGCAATAACATTTAATGTGACAGAAAGTGTGTGTGGTATGTACTCTGAGAGCTTTTTTTCATAATATTTATTCCTACCAAGAAAACGTATCAACATGAATATAACTTAACCGAACGGAATGCCATGCTTTTGAAACACCGTTTGAATAGTAGCGATGGCATCTGAGGTAAAGGCATCAAAATCGAAGACATTTCTTATAACCGTACTGAGCGAATCATTGGGGAATTGCTGAAATTCGAGACACTTTGTGTATATAAAAGCAACTTAGAAAATAGTAAATAACGAAACGTTCAGAATTCTTACATTAACATGTTTCACTATATTAACAAGTTCCCTTGTTGAGTATGGATACTGTAGTAGACCTTCATCAGCCATTTCGCGGAGCTCCGTGAATGCAGCCATCAATTTCAAGAGTGTGCCATCCTCAACATCTGAAAAACAAATATTGTAAATCCTCAAATTTTCCAAAGCACTAAGCTGCGCTCGGTCATGGCAAGGTTCGGCTCAATGAACTGATCAATACAGCACCACTATTCGAACCGGAACGCGAGCGCGCGCTTCCACGCTTACAAACCTCTCAGTGTCAAAAGTAAGGTGCCACGCTAAACCACAAAAAGGAATTTTCACAAGTATATAAGCGCGCTCATGTATTTAAATGTGAAATCACCTCTACTAAACATAATATTATATAAAGTTTCATACCAGGAGCATATTTTTTGAGCATTTCCAGTTCACTATCTCGATCAGGATTGTCCACAGTATGCACAGAGAAGAGATCACCGAGCAAACCAAATAAGTCATTGCCTAGAAAACAGGAAACAGTTCTTCTCAGCTGACTCGAGTAAGTAGAGTAAGGACTACCAAGAAATGGGAATCCGGGTCTGTTAGCCAGCATAATAATTCTGAAGTCGGGGTGCAGAGGAATGCTGCGGTCACAGGGAGGAGCGGATGCTGGTTGTATTCTTCTTCCATCACCCAGTAGAAGTGTTCCTGAACTCATCATAAAGTAATAAAGTTTTTACTACAAAGTAAAAAATTCACAATTCCTCATATATAGACCTGAAAACACATAAATGAAATTCGAAATGAAGCTTAACATCAGGATATCAGGAGTCTTCAGCATAAATACCAGCCCATGGGATGATGCTGTGATGCTTAGTTTGTTTTATTCAATCCACCCAGTTACCGTAGAACCACAAGTTTCATGTAAAGCTTACTATCCCAATGCAGCCCCATTACTTTACTACTATCCTGTTAGAGTAATCTTCGCATCAGTTTTCTTGAGCCACTCGTATGAATAACTTGCGACATTTCACCAACCGGAATCTAGAAGGCTCTTCAGAATAGCGATAACATGGAGAGGTGCTTTGTCAGCCTCGTCGATGACTAGCACATGACCTGCTCGAGCTGCTCGTACAAGAGCGGAATCTTCGTATCGTAAAATTCCGTTTTCTACAGTAGTTTGCATTGTTATTGATTCTACCGTAGTATCTCTGGAAGTAAACAGTAAACAACAATGATGGTAAAATGCAGAACAACCGCTTGAATGCTCCAAAAAAACCGTACCGATGCAATTGCATATACTGCCGAGGCCGCTGAATCAGATGAAGGAAGCGGTCTGTGATCTTGTTTTTTCCAACTCCTTGGTTTCCTATTAGCAGAAGATGTGCTCCTAATCTCATATCACGTGCCATATCCCGGATCACGCTCATATGCTATAAAAAGTCTTCTCTGATAGTAAAAAGATGAATTTAAGCTTGTAAGTAGAATTATTCAGTCCTGTATTAGGCTTTCTGGCTATGTTCACTTGGTGTCTGCACGCGGCCAGGACCTGTCTGTATCCTTCTATGAAATCTACTGCACAGTTTTGAGATGAGATTGTGCCTGACCTTCTAGCAGCGCGCGGCATACCACTGGGGCACGATGCCCCTTACCCTTTCTGGGAGAGGGTACTCCGAGAAGCAAAATGCTGAATCCTAAAAGCAAAACCACCCCAAATATCTCCTCTTCTGCAACCTTACACCGAAAAGCGTTAATAGGTGTGGGAGTGAGTTGAGTCAAGCGTTTTTCAAGATGATTGAAGAGGACTGTGTTCACCCAAAGTACAGGTAGCAGCAACGAGTACTAAATTACCGCAGTCAGCAACAGTCTGAGAGTTTCCGAAGGAGGGTTCACCGACCATTTTCAGCCAACTAATTGTAAGCCTAGTAGTGTCTCAGATAGCAAACGTAGACGCAAAAATACAGGCATGACAGCTTCACGCACAGTCTCTTCTCCTCGCGGTAGGTCTCGTATCCTACAAAGCTTCCCCCACATGTTGATTACATTAGGAAAAAACTTCCTTCTCATCAATAACCCATAACTGACCTGATCGTTTTCATAGAACAGAACATCAGGTATCATTGTTTCCTTTTTATCTTCAACAGCATTCTTGTCCAAAAGATACTTCAAGTCGTCCGAGAGCTCTGTAAAGTAAATCGGTCTACGAAGCCGCTGTAACTATTAATCACTGATTGATAACAAGCAGCTACCAACCATCCGTGCTCGATGGATTCTTCACGAAGCCCGCTTTATCGAGTTCAGTGTGAAAGGCTAACCGAGTAACTGACGGGAGAAACCTGAATTGATGGAAATGACAGAAATTGATGGTCTCCTTTGAGGACAAACCACTTTATACAGAAGCTATAAATGGTTGGGTAAGTAACAAAGACGCGTTCACCTTGCTAAAGCAGCTTTTTCTATTAGATCCCGAAGTTCTCCCGGATGCAAGCAATCCCGTTTAGCGATGTGGATTAGTTTACGGATTGACAGTGACTCAGCAACACCACGTAACTGGAACCAATCCATTCAATCAAGTAGGTTCGGTCAGCAAACGCCTACGCTAACTCACAGAAGCATCTCCAGATGATTGAAGTTTGTCAACAAACTCGATTAACTTTCGAGTAGTTTCACTTGCTTCGGCAGGAACCAAGCTGAAATTAAATCTACTTGAAATTACCGAAAACAATTAAAAACCACATCTAGTAAACAACGTCAATCTAAATTTTAGTAACGAGAAGAAAGACGATTCAGTAAACAACATCTGCAACGAAACAGCAGACGGGATGCACTAATTCATAAACTACTGCAGCAATTCATTGAAATCCGATACTAACGACCTACTTAGTAAATTGTGAAAGCCAAGAACATCAAAATAACGTACCCCTGAAGTATTTTGCACTGATCATCGATACTAAGCTTCTGCATAGTGAAAAATGGCATGAGGCTGATTACCGTCTCATTTAACCATTTGTTCTCGGTTAAGGAAGAACTGCCAATGAGGACCAGGCGGAACGATTTCGGAATTCGGAAGACTCCTCTGAAACAGGGATAAATCTCATCAAACAGCAATCGAATATGACAGGGACGCCCATACCGAGAATTCAAGTGTTCCTCGTCATTTCCTGTCTTTTTCTGGATGTTGTCGAATTCATCAGAACCAACTAGACGACTTCCATCCGGTAGAAACAGCGTACGATGGTAACATAGACTTGCTAACGACTCCAAAGCACTCCAATGGACCTGACATAGCTGACCCTTGGGTAACTTTGGAGATATGACCAAGTATCAAATAGTATTGTAGGGGAAACGAAAAAAATTTGAAAACTCATTATAGGACAAAGGGTTGGGCAGACTCACTCTTTCTGCTCCATCGAGAACACAGACATCTCCACGCTTAGCAGCTGCAACCAACTGGCTATCCTCCCACAGTGTATCCCCGTTATCCAACATTCGACGCCGTTGAAGAAGTTCTCGAGCGTTCATATCCTAAACAGAAGAAGTCCAGAGACAGGCAGGAATTAATAGTAGCTGATAGAAGGAAAATGGGAAAAAATCGTTCCCGTTCCGAAATACCTGATACAATATCATCGTATCAGTATTAAATCCTAGTCGGCCGGCTAGCTCAGCAATCAGCTTGGTTTTTCCCGTACCTTTGGCACCTTAACATTGAGACATTCATGTGAGTACTTCAAGCGTTCAAATTTACCAAAGAGCCTTACCTAGTAAAGCGAAATCTCCTTGAGAATGAGCTACTGCAAGGTCGGCAAGTAAAGCCTCCTGGCTAGGCGTTGAGACGAAGCTACGGTCTTCAGACGAGGGCTTTCCGCTCACTTCAGTCTAGAAAACACTGCCTATACAATCTAAAAGCAAGACTTACCAGGAAATAAGGTTCTTTACCGAAAATGTCCGCTTCGTCCTAGACTGATCAAAGGACACCTCCACAGTCGTTGAGGTTCCTTTGTCCGAAGGACTTACACGAGTTATAGATGCAGCTGGTTCAGACGACTTGCTTCGCTGAATGGATAATGGACAACGTGATACTATGGAGTTGTTTATTAACAAAACTATGATAAATGTAGGTAAGGTACCAACCTCAGAGATGAACTTTTCGATAAATTCTTCTGTAACCTTGATATGATGCTCCTTGAACATGCTCTTGTATGGGTACATTAAATTGAACATACTCTCGGGTGAATATGACGGATTGATGTTCTGACAAAAATACCGATGAGAAAACTTGTGCAGGAAACTATGTGAAATGGGAACTCACCCAAATCCTCATGATCCTTTCTGCTTTTTCCAGGGGAACTAAGGATAAACCCAGATCAGGCTGCGAGTTTATGGCGTACAATAGTGAAAGAAGATCGTTGATCGAATTCGAGTTCACATTTGGAGCTAGCGTGGTGCAAAGTTGGCGAACAGCCTGGAAATACTAGGTAAAACTGGTGAAATGATCTTAGCTCACAGAAATCTTTATTTAGGACCCCCCTACGAACTTCTAACAGCCAACATGGCAGAACAGAGTTAAGATGAACGCCAGACCACCGGGAAAGGCAAAGATAAACACAAGCAATTTTGAATAATATAAGGAATTTCAAAATCCTCCCATTGAGGACGCAGTCTTACCAGCTACCATAGTGAAAACCAACTGATAATCCAAGATTTTATGCGATTGTAAATACCGTACCGTTCGAAGCCCCGCTTTTGTAGGATATGTTAAAGTACTCTCAAAGATGAAGAACCAAAATTCTGACGTCAACAAAACTCATAAGTACCATTGAATCTCGACAGTACCTCGAATGAAGGTTCAGCAATGTTGCGGCATTGAAATCTGGATCGCAATGGTGGGTCGAGAGAATTGCCATGAAACCGTGGAACGGGAAGTCCAAGGGCGATAACGTGGAAACGCTCAGACACCCGTTCGATGCCCATCTCTCTCAGTTCGTTGATCGTATAGTTCTGAAGAATCACAGGAATAAAGAAGAGGGAATAGGAGAAATATAACTCATTCTAGGAAGATCACAACAGTAAATCTTTACCCCTATAAGTTTATCATACTTGTCGGGTCGCATGAGAAAACGGCCATCGTCAAGTTGCATTTCCCTGGAATGGAAGTGCGCTCAAAGCGACTGAGAAGATGGAAACCAATTCTACAGAAAATACTGCATAATTACAAATTAAGACTAGTAAACGAATTACCTATTCTCCAGTAAGTTATTCAGAATCGGTAACACGTTTCTCTCGGCTTTTTCCACGCCATCGATGACTAGGATGCGTCCATGAAGGGCTGCTCGTACTGCACACTGAACAGTGAATACTGCTGTAGTGGATACCTTAGAGTAAACCTACTGAAACTCAAACTAGTAACTTACAAGGTCGGTGTAGAATGCTGTACCACTACGAATCTCTCGTCTTTGCTTGATATCGCTCTCTGTGGTGTCTCTAGTAATAGCAAGATACTCGTATTCACGATTACATAACTCCTAAAAAAGAGCAAATAACCTCCTTGAAATCGTTTGGAAAACTAGAAAGTAAACATACAAGATACTGTAATACGATGTCAGAACGTAGTGCACCCGGGACTCCAATAAGAAACACGTCCTGTCCCAAAATTTCCTTCTGCAGTAACCACTTCAAATGGCTCAACGCTTCATCAGGAACTTTAACTTCGTGCACTAAACTTTGAGATCAATTATGTTAGCCGTTTTTTAGAAAAGCTTCAGAAGTATGTAAGTAGAAATACAAGCGTTCCAAGTAAAAAAAAGAATCCATTTCACAAATATTAGCACGTCTATACTCAGCGTACGGCGGTCGACGGCCGCCACCAATCAGAGCGCACTTACTTAAGGGAGAAAGAACATGAGAAAAGCGAAGAAATAAAAAACTTCTATTCTCTTCTGTGCGTGCTTAAGCTCATTTATATAATTTTGCAAGACGTTTTATGCTTCAAGGGCACATGGACGTGATCCCTGCACACATGCACTGCACTCGATGCTCTTCGATCATGAGGTCAACATTACTCGAAATTTACTCTAAGTCAATTTACAATTTACACTTAGGTCATCTGCAACTATTTACTCGCAAGAAAAACATGCCTTTCTACCAATATTACAGAAAAAAACAATCCAGAATCACACTAACCGCCATATCGGGCTGGAACTAATTCAGGTCGTGTCGTCTCTTTTATGGGTACCCGTAATGAGCCCAATTTGAGAACTGTCTTTTTCACGTCCACTGAACCTATGAATAAGTTTTGAAGTCATTTGTCAGCTGATTCAACACAACACAAACCTGACAAAAGCCTCCTGTGAAGAGTTGACAGGGCCCGCACACAAACCATCCTAAAAACAGATCAATCGATAGAACTCCATCGAGTATTGATTTGTAAAGCGGGCATGGGAAATTTTATGATTTCATCCCAACACATTATAAAGCTATACTATTAGAAAGATATCACCAAACACAAAAGACTAAACGGTCTTCAAGTAGGTCCATCAGTAGGTTTTGTAAAGATCGAGAAATCTCGCTAAGTAAACAGTAAACAGCTTATAAAATGTAAATAATCTGTAAAAGAAATAGTTGGGAAACAACCTTTGAGGGCCGACGAGACACTATGGCTCAGGACATTTGTTGTGTTGCTAACCTAGACGCATTTGTTTGAATGGGTGACGATGAAAGTGCAGATGGGGTCAAAGTACATAGTCGGCGGACCGCATTTCAAAGGCAAAGTACGATTATTTACGTACACAAACAACAAAATACAAACAATCCTTTACTTATGTAAACTATTATACCCATAATGAATGATTTAAGCGATGTAACTACGGCAAAATTTTGACACACTCACACAGAAATGAAAGTACTCGGAAGATAACAGGCAAATGAATAAATAATATTTACAAAGGTCATTCTTAGTGATTGAAAATCAGCGAAAGACCAAGGGCATGATGATTGAAGCCAAGGAAATCAGGCAATTTTACAATAATGTACTTGATAAGGCAGAATAACAGTGAACACTGAGAAAGTTGAATAGGAAAAATAACAAGAAGGAAAAAGCTTATTTTCTGAATAAAGCAATAAGAAATGCGGTGGCTATACCGAAAATCGTTGAGAGAAAAAGCTGAAAAATAAAAAATCAGTCAAATAAAAAATCATCAGAAGGTCTGAATAGAATAATTACATACCTTTTCTTTATATTGATATTTATGGACTTCATCTTCTAGTTGATAAAGTCTGGATGAAAGGCCTCCTTAAAAAAGGAAATACAAAAAAGGTTAAGCGCGGAATTGAGCCAAGAAATACTTACCGATTTGCCGTCGCATAATTTTGAGCTCCCGAATAGGATTCTCTTCAACGGCCATAGAGCTATCACATCGAGCCGAATCATCCTTGAAAAAAGAAAAGGTTTAGGAAAG